TTCAGACTCGTTTTTACCAAAGTGGGCTAGCCCCACCTATAGTACGGGGTTAGCTGGCCCTGCAAATTAGCAGGGCTAACCCCGCAATTGTGGTGCAAACTCCTGCTAACACCGCAATTGCGGTGCCAAGCAAATGAATGAGAACAGAAACAAAAAATATCGCAGCTGGCCAGATGCAAAGTTAGGAGCCCACTGTCCAATCCACTAGTCCGAAGCTAACGAATTGCAGTGAGAACAGCGTGAATTTTCTTATTCCGGAATAGGCGCTAGTACGGGACTAAAAACAGCGTGTGTGAAAAGCCAAAAAAGTTAGTCCGGGGTTAAGGATAGTACAGGGCTAAGGAAAGTACGGGGTTAAGCAAAACCAGTGTGAAAAGAGTAATAGTAAGTAAATATAGTTCATATCATACCTTACATGTACATGTATATGAATATACCATATCCTATAGAGTACCGAAGTGCTAACCTCATATTCCCTCGTTGTCAGGTTACTGATTCCAAACAACAGAGCCTGTGCATGAGGTTCACCGCGACATCATTCAAGCAACAGGCTGGAGCAGGGCAAATATTCAATGTTTGGCCCTCGTGTGATCACCACACTATTGTTTAGCACAAAACCAGTTGCGGTTGAATCCGACACTGCAACAGATGCATCAATCAGCAGGGCAAATTCAATGTTTGGCGCTGGGTGTGATCAGTCACCACACCACTGTTTAGCACAACATTTTTTGAAACCAGCAACCTTGACACCTTGGCAAATACGACGTCACACTGTGGTACTCTTATTCATTTTCATTTGTTCATGGACCAATTGATGCCAAAACTCACAGACACATGGATGTCAACTTCCCCAGATTCCGTTCACACAATGGAAATTTCTCAACAGCAGTACGGCTCATTAATCACCATATTATTCAGTATTCAATGCTATATGAGCACCCGCCCCTCTTCACTTTTCGAGGCAGGAGAGCAAATAATAAAATGCAGCTAAAAAACTAGTGTACAGTGACAATCGAATACGTCCATAGCAACTGCCCAAGGTAAACACACAAAAAGTGGTCTTTGTAGACAGGTGGTCACTCAAGCAGGTTTGACTGTACCTGTATTCCAAGATATCTCCGAGTGAGGTGGTAAATATTGGTTGATGTTGCTTAAAAATGAAACTAAATTCAATTTTCATGAACCAATACAATGTTCACACCGATCGTTGAGAAGGCTCTTTTACGGTATTAAGTCTGTATGTGTAAAGGTCATTTTCTAAGCTGGAATATTTGAAAACAAATTTAATAACCTGAGAGTCTGTTGACATACATAGTCTGCAGCTATGCAATTCTTAAGATGAGAGCAAATATAATAATAATACAAAGTCCTCATTTCCCTAATCATGCATTATCATGATACTGTGCTGCTTATCACAATATACCAGGGATGTACCAAGAAGCAGAGTGGGTTTTCTTCTTCACTGCAAACATAACTATAAAATACATGTTGATAAAATTGATATTTGGCCTAGATACCTAGACAAATGATCAACCCAAAGAGTAGTTAAAAATATATAAATGGATAAGCTAATAAATTGTTGCCCTAATTGAGGATACCATTTCTGGGAAGTCCGGGGTATTAAATCAACATCACCACAAAGGACTTTGAGATGATACTTATAATAGGTCTATACAGAGGCTGTTCACACCGCCATGAGATAGCGCGGTCTATCGTAGCACCCCCTTTTTTAAGCGTGCGCTAGACCGCGCTATCTCTCGTGGACCACCCCCAAGAGGTGCTCCAGTGGCGCGCCGTTTTGGCTCGCCGTGGCTCGCTGTTGGGCGGACCGAAACGACGTTGTACCTTCCAAACCGCAGAGATTGCGCGGTCTAGCGCGCGCTATCTCTGCTGGTGTGAACAGCCTCACAGTCTCCCCGGAGCTTTACGGTGTGCGTGCATGTAGCACAATAGGTGTGGTTCAGAGTTCAGACAAACAGTTTACGGTTGCTGAACAATTCAAAAAATATGAACTCACAAACTTTATTATCATACACTGTAGGGCTTGTAATACCCAGTACACACAACACAATCCTCCTGCGATCCAATTTTCGAAGAAATGGTGATTACGTTAGATATGAAAAATCTGACAAACATCATTTTCCCTATTTAGGTTCTGAATGATGATTAGAATACCAACAACCTGGATGTTAGAATAAAAGTTGAATCTGCTTCAAATCGTAGTCAATCAGACTATTGGTCTGATGTCGCTACGATTCTGAGCAGGTTTAGCTCTTCTAACTTCAAAGAAGCTTGAAATCCCTTGAAATTTCGATATTTTTAATCTTATGACTACCGTATTTGCCGGCGATAAGGCCGCACCGCCGCATAGGCCGCACCCCAATTTTGACATTAAAAAAAAAAAAATGTCGGTAGTTGTATTTCAACCCTTCCCTACAAATGTTGATGTGACCAAAATCACCGCCTTAGACCGCTCGGCCATCCCGCACTGATACTACAGCTTGCAGTTTTTTCTCATGTATACATTGAGCCTCTCTCTTATGCATTGCGCCATAGGTTTGCTCACGCAATCGAGAGGCTTTAGCTACGGCAAAAACCTAAACCTAGATCTACCAGTTGCGTTTGGTTGGTAAGTTATGAATTTTATTTACGAGATTGGCAAAACTTTGCCCTTCATTTAATAAATATAACACGTAATGGTCGGTAAGACATGTGTTATTCTAGACAATTATTCTAGAAATGTCCATCACCTTTCATTGTTGTCCCATATGTACAAATTCGTGCTGTGTTTCATGGTTTTGACTAGCAAGTTTTTTTTTTTTTACTCTTTCGCCGCATAGGGCGCACCCCGACTTTTTGATATTTTCTCTTCCAAAATTATTGTGGCCTTTACGCCGGCAAATATGGTATTCAGATCCTTGATCATCAGGATCATGGATGCTAATTGCAAATTCTTCCAAAATCGGATTGTATTCAGATCGTGTAGTGTGCGATGAGCTTAAAGAGAAATCCAGCCCAAATAGACAACTACTCTAAAAGTTTTAACATGCTTTAACATGCATTGAGATCACAACGCACAACATTTGAAAATTGGCATGAATTAGAGGCTCCCCAAAATTTATCAAAACACAGTTCACATTTAAAGCTGCTATCATTTAACATTTGATTTGTTTTTCTATCCCTCTTTTTCTCTCCTCAGCGTAGACTGTCAAATGGCTCCATTCACACTGGTCAGCTACAAACTGAACCTCAACAGGAAGACGACTCCATCTTGTGCTCTGAAGAGTGTTCAAGTAAGGAGCCAGCATAATGTGTCAATGGAAAAGAATGCACAACACTGGTCAGAGCCAAACCACTTGAAGACATCAGTGTGTCCATGCTGAAAACACTTCTCCAAACTCCTCAAAAGAGATTTCCTGCACAACATACATGTACAACTCCATCCAAGAAAGCCCAAAGAGCGGGAAGCGGAAACCAGAAAAGGCGTATGACCAGCTGTCCACCATGAAGAGACGACTCAAGACATTTCCGACAAATCACAGAGACTAAAGAAAAAGGTTGATTCTCTGCAGGAAGTGGTGAAGGCACCGGAAGAGAAGAATTACTTGATAGAAGAGGGGCTGGAATTGTGGGAAATGACATGCGATATCCCGGCAGAAATAATGAAGAGATGTGTCAAGTCAAGGAGCAAAGATGTAACTTCCAAGGAAAAGTATTCTGCTTCTCTGTGAGCTTTTGCCCTGACCTTAAACTTCTACTCTGCGAGGGCATATACATGTTTACTATGATTTTTTTTTTTCCCCATACGAGAGAGAAAAAAAATCCCACAAACAAATAAACATTTTAGTGTACCTGATGGTTGCATCAAAGTGCACCAATTGCCAAAACAGGTTGTGCTCTTGATATCAGGGGTTCCATGCAACCATACTGCAATAACACCAATACTACAACGCTGATAACACCAACAACAAAAAACAATAACATACATGTACTGTATTCAAATACGAGCTTCAACTTCAAATATTACTGCTATTTAGAGATGTCTTTTATCACAGTTTAAATACACTCTCAGTAAAAAAAATGAAAACGACTTGTTGAGTTCTTTTCGAGTAGATTAGTTGACGCAGGTGTTGGACTGATATGCGCAAGGTTTTAATGTTATCCTGTATTTTCGTTATACATGTACTTGTACCCCTGAACTGATTTATAAGATGCCAGGTAAAAAAAGGATTTAGGTTGATTTTGTACATTCTAGCTAGATACATTTTCTTTCTTTTTTCTTCAGGAGATTGGTACAATTACAGTTTTCACCTTCACTGTACATGTAGCTCGAACCAAACCAAACATCAATCAAAAGGATACGCGTACATATGGACCACACATAGACCAACTATATCTTAGATCTGGGCCCCGTCTTACAATGATTTGCGATTGATCTAAATCAATCGTAAGTCCTCCAATCAATCGCAAGTTTGCAGTCTCCTATCTCTTATGTACAGAGTTGCGATTGATATCAACTTTTTGTAAGACTGGGCCCTGCCCTTCTATATATATTAAGATTTACAAACTGGTTTGAGAACTGTCAAAAGCAAAAACATTCACTAGATTGACTCTTCTCATTGAACACAGGATGTAGGTCAATTTGCATGAACATAAGTAGTCCAGAGCAAGTGCTTACATCTTTGTCACAAAGAAATTGTCAATATCTTTTTCTACATGTAGGATGTTAATAAAACCTCATCAATTTGATTTTGCAATTAACGTCATCAGACACATGGGGCATTCTGGGAGGTTGGCATGCTGCCGAATCCATTCACACACATGGTAAGGAAGATGTGTTGAGTAATTTGTTAATACATGTAGCTATTCTGTAATAGGAAACTCATGTCTCAAGTATGCAAATCTATTGAAAAACACTTATGCATAGCAATTTATTACAGATTTCAAGTACATGTAGCAGCACAGATGGAAAAAGTCAGGCTAAATAAAATAGTACTTACATTCAATGGAAATGGGTACGGCTTGGAAGGTGTCCCTGGTACTGGTACGTTGCTGTAGAAGAAAAAAAAAGAAGATAAAAATAAAAACAATGGTGAAAATATATTCAATCTAAAGGTGGAGATTAACCTGAAAGGTAGGTGGTGGGTAGTAAATGTGCCAATACATATTACTTCAGTGTAAATATAATTACCTAACGTACTGTAATTTAGTGTGGGCGAGAACGTCTAATAATTTATTAAAGCCCCTTATCATACTTCAAAAGCAGGCTGTTCGGTTGTGCTGCAACGCTTCCTTCAGAGCGCATACCTCTTCATTATTTAAATCCTTAAATTTACTCAAACTTCCAGATATTCTTTCTCAACGGACTTTATTATTTATGTACAAACTCCAAAATTATTTGCTACCAGTAACGTTTTATGACAGTTTTCATTTGAACTCGGATGTCCACTCCTTTAATACAAGAAAAAAAAAAAGACTTCCATCTATCAAAATTCACTAACTCATTTTTGCAAAATAAATCAATTAGATATCAAGGTCCTCACAAATGGAACTCCATGTCAAGTTATTTAAAGGGTATTAAGAACCACAACGCATTTAAACTTAAACTGAAAAGAACAATACTTGCCACTTATTGATATATTGAAATACATAATTGATTCATATATTTTGTTAGCATGTAACATTATTATTAATGTATTGTATTGTATCGTATTTGATCGTATTGTATTGTATAGTATCTGTATGTTTTTATGTTTGGGGTTGCTCGTTTACAAGTTTTTAACTTATTTTAGCAATCCCGGTATTTATAATGATTTCATTTGTAATGATTTCATTTTGATGTTTTTTATCTTTTGCCAAATAAATGTGTGAATTTTAATTTTGATTTTTGATAATTATGGTACTTGAAAGGGGAAAAGGAGACCAAAAGTAGTCTAAACTTAGTATACAGTAGTAACGTATTTTCAATGAATTTAAAATATAAAAAGCGGTTCTATTTATCAAAGTACAGGGCCAGGTTAAGATATGAGTATAAAACTGTGATTATTATGAGAAAAAAAATCCTCTTTCACATCTCCGTTCAAATCATGTTCATATCTGAAAGGTATTTGAAGTGCTCACCCAATCCGACAGACTTCCTTCATGAGAGTGGTTGGTGTGTTTGCAGGCTGACTACCATCCGTGCTGTCTGAGCTGCTCTCCTGGGTATCCTTAAAGTCCCCTGCATTCATGCAGGCATCAGGCAGACTCTCACTGTCATCAAGGTCTTCATCAGAGCTCCCTTCCTCTGGCTCTCCTGCAGGGTCAAGAGTGTCTTCAAGCACTTCTCCATTTTGCTGGTCCTCCCTTGCTTTGGTTTCATGCAACGGAGAGGATGGTGGGTGTTCTGAATCTCGCAGTACAGGTGCCTCACCTTTTGGCTGAGGACATGTATTCTCTGACTTGTTGGACATCAAACATGTTAGGGGGACACGTCCTGGTTGGTCGTTACCCATGACGCTTATTGTAGGAAGATCTCTCTCCAACAATTGCTCTTCATTTGAAGCTACATTTCCATCACCTCCCGATGTCTCCGTTGCCTTTGATCCATCACACCCATCTTCAGCAGGACTGTTCTCCGAATGACCCGGCATCAAGTCACAAGGATCTGGTTGGGATAGAAGTACTGTGTGCTTGGCATTTGCTGGAGAGGGACAGCCCTCCGATGCTTCACTGACCATGCATTCAGCTAAGGTATCCATTTGTGGATACTCCTCTGTGGCCACTGTCTCTTCAAAAATCACATCCTCCACTCCAGGAATGTAATTTGTATCTCCAAATGGATACCCCTCTCCTGCAGAGGATCCAAAAAGTGTTGAGTCACTCTCATTCCCGTTGTTAGAGCATCCTGGTCTGTCTCCTTGAACCGCCGCCTGCAGCCTCTTCCCGATCCTCCGCTTCAGCTTGGAAATACTGCCAGAGAACTTGGGTGATGCTGTGACCTTTGACCTTCCATGAAGGCCCAGAGGTGAAGAGGAATCTCCTGGCTGGTCAGTTCTTGAGGGATCAGAGCTCAGCTCCTGAAAGAGATTGGCCACACCGGAAGCTACACCGGACGAGACACTGGATTCACTTAGAGCAGCAGAGTCAGACATAGCATGCCTGAGGGGTATGTCATACTGCAGTGGCGCTGCATGACTGTTCGAAACAGATGTTGTTTCTGGATCCGATGAGCTGCACAATGGAAACGCCCTTCTCCTTGGTTTATGCTTATGAGCTGCAGGCAATTTAAAAAAAAAAGCCAAGCTCAAATTAAACATAATATGACAGATGGTGCAATTAACACAATCTGTAATGGTAAAATATTAAACCATCCTATCAATTTAAATAATGACAGAAATATAGGGGCACACACAATCAGCTCTCGATATTTTATAATTTATACACATGAAGGCATTATAATGTAAGGTTTGGTGACTTGATGTTGTAGACAAATTATTCTCCTTGATTCATTATAATATCACAAAGATATTTCTTCTGATGTTGGTTAAAGGGATCCGGTAACTTTGTCTCAGATTCTGAAACAAAATTCTGGATTTAGCTAATAATGATAATTATAAACATTTAGGTCAGTCAGGAACCCCATGACTTTTACAAGACGATCGCCTGCCTGATTATCAAGATATTTATGATTGGTATTACAAATTTTGTAAACCGTTCGCCTGACGGTTTTCATAACACTACAGTCTATTGGGGAAAACGAGTATGGTAAAACCGGTCACTCAAAGATTTTTACTTTTTTGAGGCACTTCTTGATCATTTTGAAGCGCAATTTTTTTAGGGCTTCAATATTACACCATATGACAGACACTGATAACACGTAGGGCCGTGTACATGTATCTCAGATTTAACATTGTTAAACGATCCCTTTAATGTTATGAGGTACTGTAGTTAAAGGGAAACTGCCTACATACATGTACTACATTACGTAATGAAAAGGATATACTATTATTCATGAAGTTGTTGGAATCAACAAAATGTACCATATATTATGAAAAAATGCTGATAAACTGAATGCATGGCGAATAATCAACATGAACTTATGCACTATGCACATTGGACAAGCAAATATAAATTACTCTTGTTAGTTTAGGAGGTCTTATCTTCTCTGTATTTTTACCCAGCCATCATACATTTCTGTCAAAGTTGCCAGGCAGATATTTTAAGTTATCAAAATGTTAAATGGGTATTGTGAAAATTTCATATATTTCCAACATTACTAGAAATGAAGATAACCTTTAAAATATGTCATGGCTTTACTTTACTGACCTTTCTGTTTCTTTCCTTGGAGAAAATTGTGCTTCCTGGCCGTGTTGACGATGAAACTTGAGGACCTTCCTAACCTCCGAAGAACATCCTCTGTGAGAAATATGCTTTCGGACTTCAACTTTAGCCTTTTGAGAGGAATATGAACTGCTCTGGAAGATGCTTCAAGGCGGAGACCTTTGACGGACTTCTCGCGAAACTTGTGGAGATGGTGACTGCCAAGAGACTTCTTGGACAAATGGTGCACTTTGCGGAATGACAAGGTTATGTGCTTGTCACTCTGTTCTGAGCTGCTCTCCCTGCCTTTAAAAGTGCATGTGTACTGGGGTCGTTCCGGTGACTGTGCTTCCTCTAAGGGGCACTTTGCTGCTTTGGGCTCCGCTTTGGACTCCACTTTGGGTGATTCAGTAGTCTTTGACTTTGTGTTTAAAGAAGCATTGAAAAGTCTTTCTACCTTTTCTAGCGAGATCTCATCCATGCTGTTTGAGGATGAAGGATTCCCACAGGATTCCAAACTTGCATGGGAATCAACTGAAGACTGCTTGCTCAGTTTCTGTTTCTGTTTCTTTGGTGTTGCCGACAGTGAAGCTTTGAACAAGCGTTTTACTTTTTCTTCATCATAGTCACATTCAAATGATCCTTGTTGCAGGTTGCGACGTGAAAGATGCTGCTCTGAATCACTGCCACTCTGATGAGAATTTCTTCTGATTCTTTCCGGCACCCTATCAGTTATTTTACCGTCTGGGGTATGCTGTCCATTGCTCAAGTTTCGCTGTGCCATGTTCAAGAGTGCCCCGTAGCTAGGAACACCCTGGTGTGATGAAGATGGACTACTGTTTTTCCTTTGCAACTTTTTTCTTTTCTTCAAGTGCAAGTCTCTGCTGCCCCCACCGTGTCTTTTCTGGCAGCCACTACTGTCCACAGAGCTGTAGGACGATCTCCCTACAGGCTCCATTCCAGATGTTACACCACTGCTGCCATCGCTATAGATTCGTTTAGCCCAACCTGCCTTATCTTGGACAATAATGAAGCTTGCTCTTGCGTGATCTGTATTTGGTGAAAGAGTTTGGTCATGTGTCTTTTGCTTCACAGGTTTTGAAGAAGTTAACTGCTCATCTTCTTCTGAAGGAGTCGAGTTCAACACCCACAGCATGGTGTGTTTCTTTTTGCTGGCCAGGATCTTTTCTTCATGAGTCACGCCATCCATGATTCTACTAGATTCACTATGAGATCTTTGTCTCTTTGCCTCATGGGTTTTCTTCCTGTCTGAAACAGCATCCACCTTACCGTGTCTGACATTGGATTCGCTTTGATGTCTTGACCTGGGTTGTGGTACCGATTGTGATTTCCTGTTTCCTTTCACAGTATCTACCTCATTGGTCTTTGAAGAAGTGCCACTTCGATGTCTTGATCGCTCCTGTGACTTCTCTCTGTCTTTGACAGGATGCCCATGATGGTGCTTTGCGCTACATTCACTTTGATGTCTTGATCTTTCCTGAGATACGTGTGATTGTTCTATATCTTTGCCAGTATCTCCCTTATGGAAGATGCTGCTCGATTCACTGTGATGTCTCCCTTTGGGATTGGACGAGTGGCGTGATTTAAATCCATCTCTGACAGTATCCACACTTGAACCAGGTTCAGTACGATGCCTAGACTGAGAATGAGACCTTGAATGTTCCCCTTGTTCTGCCACAGACTTTGCATGTATTGACGCAGGTGACCTGTAATTTAGGTGCATACTCTTTCCTCTTTCACTAGATAAAATCGGCTGAGATGAACTGCGATCTTTAGATTTTGGAGTACTGCTTGATTCTCGATTTTGTCCTCTAGGAGGAGTTTTTAATGACATCTCTCCTCGCTTGTACGTGTGGGTAGTATTCACAATCTTTCGCCTACCCGTCGTCTCATGTTCTGCTGGAGATGAATGATAATGCTTTCCTGGACTAGTTAATGGCTGACCTTTAAGCCTCGGGATAGATGGTTTCACAGGCGACGAGCTGCTGCATGCCTGTGATGTGGTCGACTTCATCACCGCTCTCTTCAAGGAAAACCCTTGAACTGGACTCCCTTGGACCCCCCTGGCACTACGATCATGAACAGAATTCAGACACGCCCCAAAAGAGGACTTGCTCATGGAACTCTGGTGAGGTTGTCTTTGCTCTCCATGAGAGTAAGGCAAATGAGTTCCCTTGCCATCACTTCCACTAGCAGATGATGGTCTCTTGGGGTTGCTTGAGGCATGGGGTAACCGGTTGTTCTGGTGGGTTTCTTGAAGAATCTTCTCTCCAACCCTCTCTGTAGGAAGCTGCCTCCCTGACGAGTCCATGCTCATTGAGTGTCGCCAGCGCTGTAGCTTCCTACATCATGAACGTGGTACTGTTGAATCCTATATGATTTAACCTACCAGCAAAAATCATAAGAAGAGAAAAAGAGAGGAAGAAGAATAATTACTATTGTTGACCAGGGTCTATTATTCATAAAAACGATTGATTTGTTTAAACATATTTGTGGCTTACACCCAGTAAATAAGATCGATCTAATTTACTGGGTGTAAGCCACAAATATGTTTAAACAATTGAAATTTCTCCCAGGAAGCATTACATTTATAAAAACAATTGCTTTTCATTCACATTTTTTTTTCAGTTAAAAAGATTTTGTTTGAAGTGCAAAGTCATCAAAATTTTAGATTGTCACAGTGGTTAAAATATACATAATTATTATTTGTATGAAGGGTTTTGAGCCAACCAAAAAAAATCTGCATATCTTGTGGTTTTAAAGCAAAAGTACCTGGATGCAGAAAATTTTCAAAATCTCATGGTTTGAGCTTAGGGTTTGCATGGAATCTAAGTTGCAAGTTCATGTACATGTACATGCTTATGATATCATAATACTACAGACTTTAGTACTAAAAGAACTACTAGTGTAGAAATAGATTTCAATAGGAAATCACTTTTATTTTGCTATGGTTCGTACTTTGTAATGTTATGAAACAGAGCAAAATAACTGTTATTACCTATCGAAATAAATTCATTCGGATGGGCATATCTCAGCCAATACTTAACATATTCAATTGGTTTTCAGCATTTGGACATAATTTTTAATGCTCTTTAGGAAAATGAAGTTCAAATTTGGAAACTCTAAAATTAGTTTTTTGATGACGCTGAGACGCCATAACACAGCACTAAGGGTGCGTTCATGGACACTTTTTCACCCTAGTTTAAAACATGGTTACGTTCAAGCAATTTCCAGCGATTTTTTGTCGGTCGTAAAAAAGTTGACCTATACTTCCTGGGTCAGACTGCACAGTGTGATGAGCAGTGGCTGGGCTCTCCCGCAGTAACCGGGTATTTTAACGGCATTTTGATTTGTGATTCATGTTTGTGATTCTAGCTTCAAAATATCGCTTGAACGCACCCAAAAGCATTCCAAGGACTTTCTTCCTCCCAGGTACCCAGGTGGAGAGTAGCAATGTGAGTGGCAATATGACTTGCCAAAGGACATTAATGAACCATGTGAACCATGTGAACCACAGTCCGGTGACATATCCACAAGACCACGTCTTCTCAATTGAACTCAATTATTCGATTCAATATTCAATTCAACCTGTCCTAATTTAACCAAATTCAATGCATAGGTCTCAGTGAAGTGCCTCAACACAAATTATTCCATTCACAAACATTATGGCTTGTCCTATCTTACAGCACAGAATTCATACATACCGGTAATGCATTCTGACTATTGAAATACAATTGTTTGCCACAGGTGAATGAAGTAATTTGTAACATGGCACGTAACAAAGAGTTATGTATTACATTTGATTATGTTACAAAATGGTTCTTTGTGTAAATTGTTTTCAGACAGGTCCTCTACAATGTTTTTTTTTATCTGTAACCCATTGATTGTCAACTCGCTGTAATTCACGTTAATGTTAACTACATGCATACAAGTACTCGACGCCAGACACTTGAACCCTTTGCAAGTGTACACCATACAAAGATCGCTATCACTTCCTCAAACACAAGTGACATATTCAGGTTCACGTACATTGGAAAATGTATTTGATAAATTTTGCTTCACACAGGTAATATCAGGTATTTACTCGTACAGGAAGTAACTGACATGTGAGCATTCTTTTGTTGTTGAATTTTCCATTCTTCTCAAGAATAATCAATAATTGGGAAGTGTGGTGAATAACCACATTTTACAGGGAGTATTAGTGTAATATTACCATTTATAACAAATACCGGTAGTGTAATTTTTCACAATGCAGTAGGTGAACATCCAGTTAGCCAATAACAGTTTTGTGTCACCTTTTAGTGACATTCTATTTGCATCTTCTGATTCAGGAAGCTCTGAATTAAGAATTGCACATGAGCACATAGTGCCAAAATCAATGCAAAATTTAAAGTCCATTTCAGTGGCAGTACACTAAGTGATTTAATCACAAATTATCACCTCATTACTATTATTATTTCCATTTGCAAATTTGCAATTACTTGTTGATTCTTTTGTACTTTGCATAATTTACACTGTTTCATATCATATACATTTTCATTCATAATATGAAACATTGGAAAATACAAATAATTGGTGCCAATTTGAGGAGTAAAGCCGATTCATTTTGACGTTTAGCAAACTCTGAACTGCTACAGGTGTATGTGTTATTCAATACTCGTAGTATACAATACATCCAGACTCATGTGAATTTTCCTTTGAGAATCTGCATGCACTGTAAAACCTGATACTTTGCCATCTGGTGAAAGTTTTGTAATTGATATCCTTGTAAACAAGAGTGATTTTTTATAGCAAGAGACTTTCACAAATTGTTAAAATACATTTTTACATTTTTTACATTTTTCCACTGGAAAAGCTCTCCCCACTTTGACAGGGATGACACAAGACTATTTATTAAAGTGTAAAATAAGGTGAAAAAAAGTGTTTGTACTGTTAGTACTATACTACTTTGTACAATTATGCAAAATGTCTTTGAAAAACGAATTACCTCGTAAACACATTTTCTGGTGTACATGTACAAACTACAAAATTGTATTAGCAAGTCGGCTTCATGCCTACTTGTAAGATGCTTTCATAATCATGCAACACAACCTCACCGCAGCCTCCTCAGGCAGCCATTCTGAACAACCTGTTACCATAGTTACTAGCTCACTCTTGTAGACATGTAAACACGGCTTGTATCAAAGGCTTGAATATCACCAGTTTCACAAGAGTCAAGAAGAAATGAGGACAATCTTTAATGTCAGTTTTTTATTGCATGTGTGATGGGTTCACAAAGGTATTGCCTTATTGAACATTTCACTATATACATGTAGAAAAGGCAAACACGATTGCAAATTTATACAATAAATCTACAAAAGAAAGAAAATGATACGATATAGTGTAAAGATCCACCTTAGCCATGACGTACTAAAGAGGCATGACGTGAGCATTTGACTACTTGTCATTAAGATTTTGGATTGGATTTTTTGCAATCTTTCTTTTTCAACTCATTAAAGGCATCGTTTAACAATGTTTCCAGTTTTACAAATTTGAGATGCATGACCACCCGATGTGTTATCAGTGGTCTGTGATATGGTGTAATATTAAAGACCAAAAACAAATGCGCTTCAAAATGAGGGAAGTGGGGGGGGGGGGCAGAACAAAAAATCAGAAGTAAAATAAAAAGATAATAAAACCTGAATTGAATCACAACAAAAATAATATTATATTCAAAGAAAAGGAGTGTAAACAGGAATTAAATTTCCTAAACATTCTGCATGCCCCCATATTTTTCAATGGAGGATTTGATAATAGCGATACGCACATATCGTGGAAATATTGTGGGAGGATGGGAAAGGTGTGTGTTTTTTATCATAGGGGTGAAAAGACATGAGCCCCTGAATACTGGTGTAATAATGCGGGGGGGGGGGGGGCTTGGGGGGCAGTCCCCCCTAAATAAAATTTAAACGTGGTTCATTTCTAATTGATTTTCCACAATTTTTTTCAGAGGTATGTTTAAAAAGAGAAAGAGAGAAAAATGACATACCAGTGTCACAATACGGGGCCTCTGTCCTCTGGACCCCGCGTAAGGTGGGCCCCTGCTCATCTGACCGTAATCAAATGCCTAAAACTCCTGAGCTTCATGGGGCTCAGCCCCCTGCCAGTGTCACAAATAAGGTATCAAAATATGCTCATCTGACCGTAATTAAATGCCTAAAACCCCTGAGCTTCCGAGGGGGGGGGGGGGTAATGGTGGGGGGGCTCAGCCCCCTGGCCCCACCAATTAGTGACCTGCCAGTGTCACAAATAAGATATCAAAATAACTAGAGAATCTATAATAATTCATTTACTGGAATTGGAGATAAGATTGGATGAAAATGTGATCAAAATCAATTTTGTTAGGACAACTCTTTTTTTAATAACTGCACACTATGAATATCATATCAAGACTCTGAAACTGAAAACTGCCATTTTCCAAGAAATATTTAGTTTTTTACCCCTCAAGGCCTCTTAATTTGGAGTTCTACACTGAGATATTACATGTACAGTACAACTATTTTGGTTCAAAACCATAATTACTTATTTTAATTTAAAGGTAATACAAAGTTTTGGTATGGGGTCATGAATTTGGTTCAAATGAACATATTGGAAGTTTGGAACCATATGATTTTACAATATTCAATGATTGTTGTCGCGGTTAAAACTGAGTCTGAAATGATGAAATTGTAAATATTAAACTCTTTAGTCTTTACCGGTATGTGGTATAGCTCCCTCTCAAGACTGATATATAGTACTTTAGCTTTAAAAAATTGTTTCTTGACTACAATCGACCGATTTGCTATTCCCGTTTGGAAATTATATATCAGAACTGCATATTCTGAGATTTCCATGGTCGCAGCTACAATGTACATGTACCATGGAATGGCCTTAGGCACTATTAGAAACATTTGAAATTTACCGGGAGCACCAGTAAATTTTGATTATTCAATTTCTCGAAAGTAGAAGTGTTTAGGGGCTACATTACATTTTCTAGTACTTATAACAAATCCACAGGGGCATCCAAATATATCAAAAAAATTAAGAATTACTATCCATCCAATTTTCAAAATTTACCAAAACTTTGCATTACCTTTAAAAAGAAGGTTGAGTTCAGGGAAGAGGTGAAAACTAACTTGTAAGCGTTATCATTGTTATTATGCAAGTGTGAAAGAAGATCAGATAAAACATGTTCCTGAAAAGCATGGCTCTTCAAATGCCTTCATATAACATCGTAAAAATTGGGACGGATTTTTACTCCACGTGTTTGTGTAGTCATTTCTGTGTACAGTGTTTGTAACTTTACCAAGACTTGGCCAAATTTCATCATTTTGATGATTCCAGAACCTTGCAATACACATGAATACTCATAAGCTACATGTAGATGATCAACCTTTTCTGATCGGTTCCACACCGTTTCTTTCACAATGCAATCCCATGACCAGAACTCACCTTTATCTTTAACGTGATGGGTTACTCACCTGGGCCTGGGGAGTGTTTCACAAAGACTAAGATCGACTTTAAGTTGGACTTAACTTCATGCCACTTGTTTGCTCTCACCATTATGATCTTTAAATAATATTTTTTTCCTTCTACATGTATAATAAATTATCAGATAATATTCCGTAGATTTGAGACGATTTGTATGTCCCTTGAGAGACCAATGCCAGTAAATGGTGAGAGAAATCAGTGGCATGAACGGCCTGCCATAGTTAAGTACTACATAAAGTCGATCTTAGTCTTAGTGAAACACTGCTCCCCTGGTCTTTTTTAAAATGATACGATATGAAATTGTTTAAGTGCTCAAACATGTGGAGCAATGAGTGCAACTGTACATATCAAATACCTTTAGGATTGGATTTCCTTTTTTGGATAAAACCTTTTTCAAAGATTCATGTTCTAGTGATCAATTACAGATTCTAGATATCCATCCCATTTAAGATTACTACAATGAAACCTGTATATATATAAGGGCCACTTTTGCAACACTGATGTATCTTGCGAGCTCCTTTCCATTTACTAAATTAGTTCGGTACATACAATTTCATGAACTTTCATTTCCTTGGTTATTGATGATGGAATAAAACATATTTGCCAAAAAAATGAATGTATGCGGTATGGTTAACAATTTTGTCATTTTTACAATTTAATTTTTCAGTATGATTGGTCATTGGGTGTCCGGACCCTTCACAAACAGCCTTCTCTTTTCCTTCAGATTTAACAAAAAAAATCATCAAAGAGCATGAAACATCATGAATATTTGTCCTTTCATATTGGTAAACGTAAGTATTAGAAGATTTATGAAATATTGCTTATAAAATTGCTGTTTTAAACAGTCTGGAATACACAAGCAACGTCTGGGTAATACAGGGCAAATGGGAGGGGAGCAAGATACGTCACAGAGTTGCCCGATACTATATAGCACCTTCAACAATTCCTATTAAACTTTCTCATTTTTAATCATTTTTTGCTCAAAGTCAAACTAGTCTATCACTCATTCGTTTAAATCGCTTCTCTCATTTTTCTGCTTTTATGTTTTAGTTATTGATATTAGACCCTAGTATTTTATTTTTACAACAAACTGATTATCATGGTCGACTTTCCCTTTTTTGATCTTGGCCTTGGCTTTCAAAAGTTCCCCACAGGCCACACCAGACATTTAGACTCTAATAATAATATTTATTTCTGTCTAGCCAGGCCGAGCTCATCTTCAGCTCAAGCGAAACATAACAATAACATTGTCATTACTACTAAATACTAGCTCTAACTTTGTTAGAGTCTGGCTTCAATTCAGCATGATCTGGCAGTGGCACCCAAACAGAAACACATCATAATAGTCTAGGCCTAGATCTAAGTCTCTTCAATTATTCTTAACATGAATTAAACAGAACTAGATTTTCATTGCCTTTCAAAGAACATTCTAACTTTTGATCATAGTAGACCTACTGACTAACATGATTAACAACTTTATAGGCCTAGAGTCTAGACCTAGTCTACATGAAGTTCATACATTCACATTGTCGTTGAGTCTTATTAGGCCTATGTATTATTAATTAGCATGCATTGGCCACTACACGAATTACTATGTCTACTTATGTACTGTGTTGCTGGTGGTGCGAGTCTAATTAAGTAGATCTAGATCTAGATCTACGCGTCAACATGAATTACTTACGAAATTACGAGATAGATCCCTCGTTCCCTGTGCCTATGATTAGAACGTTTATTCTCTCGAGAATTTAGACCTCCCAAGTCTCACTCCGTTTTAGGGACCTTGGAAGACGACCTCTCTATTTTTTGTAGCTTTAGACGTGGTCGATTCGGATTTGATTCAGCTTTACATGCAAATAATTTGTATACAGCTAGCGTACAGTGCAGTGCTAGTGGTGGCCCATATCATTCTACGCGTATTGCATTGCACATACAGCTCAGCGCCAAAGAGCTTATATTTAGAGCAAAGGGATTCTACGTACTTTCGTAGTAAGCGTAGTACGTGTGGATTTGACCAAAGTGAAGAAAACATAATAGTGCGGTATGGTATGTAATTCCGTAGGATTTTTTTTCTCCAACGTTGATTTTTTTTGTTGCTGTTTTGGCTTCAAAAGGGTGCCAATTGGCCAAAAATGACGGGGTTCAAATTTTCAGACCCCTCCTTCATTTCCTGGGGGGGGGGGGGGGTCCATATTGGGCGCCAAAATGGCATAGACCCTTATTATAGCGCGCAATATATAGGGAAATTTGGTGTCTTCGGAAAATTTGAACCCCATCAATTTCTCATAGCTTGGACCCCAATGAATAAAAAAATGCAACCAAAAAAAAAAATCAACTTTGGCACAAAAATCCTACGGGAGCTGTTTCAGTGACTTACCGTACTACACTATAAGAAGAAAGAGTAGACTCGAAATCTATACTAGCCACGACTCTATAATAGCCCTAGGAATGATATACAAATTAACACCTAGGCTATTGGGTCAAGTACCCTCATAACCAAATATGTAAAGCATGATTTGAAAATTACAAAGAGACATGCAAGTAGAAATTCTTATGTTTTTATTATAATATTCTGTTATAGTACGGATAGTTTGAAAATATTTGTAATCCCCCCCCCCCCAAGAAACACCTTCCAAAAAAACTGTATGCTCATTAGTTTTATTGCAAATCAAATGAAATTTATACTGCTCACAAAAGGAGGGGGCATGGCCCAGGGGGCTTAACGTTTTTATAATGATTTTGAGTGGAGAATTTGTTCATCCAAAAAGTTGCAGTGCAACAAATAAACTAAGAAATATATGTAATTTTTTTTTTTAAAGTAACAAAAGTACATTTTCCCGGCAACGCAAGATAAAATAATGATAACCTTGAATACGCAAGGCCAGGGGCGGTAGAGTGAGTGCCAAAGTGTGGGGGAGGGCATCAATACAAAAGGGCACCTTTCTGGGGGGGGGGAGCACCTACAAAGGGAAATCTCAAGGCGAAAATATACAATTTTTTAGACATTGGTTTATACCCCTTCATTATCAGGGTTGATTTCAACATTTGTTTTTTTTCTTTATACATCATAAACTATTATACAAGATATTGCTTAACTCATACTTATCATACTCATAAACTAATTGTTCTCAAAGAGGAAAATACCCAATCCTGATGGGGGTATAAGTACATTCTCATAACGGAAGACTGAAAAACCTTTGATAAGTAACATGCGATCGAGCGTATGGAGCGAGCTTCGGGTAAATTGCCCTATATAAGTCGCTTTAAATTAGGGGCACGTTTAATGATGAGAGGAAAAGGGGACACTAATCGGAAGGGATAAGATACTCATGAGAGAGAAATGGAGCACGTGTCAAAGTATACAAAGGATGATTATCAGATGTGATAATACTTCTTACACCTGAAAACAGGCATTTAACGGGGATGAAATTATGACAATGGGAAATTGTCATTTGCCGACGGAAAAGGGGCACGCATCATCACCCAAAAGGGAAATCATCAGAGATGATAAAGGGCACTGACCATGCTATGAAAAGGGCACTTATGAGAATGAAAAAGAGGCACCAATAAAGAAAAATGTGCATTTGCTGTAAAAAAAATTTTTAAAAAAGCGGGTGGCCGATCAGATTTCAATTGGGGCAATTATCGGAAGTGAAAGGGAACTTTTATGAGAAGGGGATAGGTCCAATTATTAGAAAGTAAAAGGGGCACATATTAAAATAACAGGGGCATTTTTTTCTTCAACCGGGGTAATGATGAGACAGGGACGGGGCATTTATAAGAAGGAAAAAGATCATTGATTAGAAAGGGATGGGGAACGTGTATAAAAAAATCAAGGGGGGCAGTTATTAGAGATGAAAAGAACACTTATCAGAAGGGGAAGGGGCACTGGTTAAATTAAAACGAGAATCTCTCCGATTTGAAAAGGGGCAATAATCGGAAATGAAAGAGGCACTTATCTGAAATGTAAATAAGTAACTTCTCGTACCTGAAAAGAGTCATTTACCAGAGATGAAAAGGGGTACCTCTCAGTTTTTAATAGGGTAATTATCAGAGATGAAGGGGGCCTTTATCAAAATGAAAGGGTCACTTCTCGAACCTGAAAAGGGGCACTTACTAGAGATTAAAAAGGGTACTTATGAGAATGGAAAATGGACACTTATTGCCTGAAGGAAAATGGGAACTTGTAGAAGGAAAGCCAGGGGCAAACACACCCCCCCCCCCACTTATAATGAGTAAACTGGTTGCAACACCCTGACTCATATGAGAAGGGAACAATTTTGTTTTGCCTCGGTCGCCACACTCCCTAACATACTCAGATGCTTAACTATGCTTATGATAAAACTACAAATACAAAATAGATTTCCTAACCGTAATGTACGTACAATGTATTACATAGCCAGAGATTCGCTTATGTTTTACAAGTTTTATACACTAAACTCCCAATAGCACATATCGCTGGATCAGAAAGTTCGGGGGGGGGCGGTGCTCTTTCTTTTTTCACATTTCACTTTTACATTGCAGGTAACTAGTGTGCATTCCGAAGGGTTGTAAATATTTTGTAGATAAGTTTTAGTAAGTAGGGAGCTTGGGCATGGATTGGAGCGTATAGCGACTGAGCGAGAAGATTTTTGCATTTTTATTGAATTGAATTCAATTCTTTTTATTCATCCAAATTCACAAGAATAGTGTTGCAGTCTTTAGTCATGCAGTAGGCCTATAGGCCTATTTGCTAAAAATTAATTGTTTGCACCTTTTCAAATTTCCAGGGGGGGGGTACATGTCCCTCGCTCCGCCCCCCCCCCCCCCCCCCCCCCCCCACCCCTCCCGGGATCGCCGCCCCTGGATTTATGATAAGAACATATAATGTATACAGAAAAGCTTGAAGTAATCGACGTCCTCTAGAATATGAAAATAACAATACACACAATATACAGCGATGCATAAATATTATACTGCTAATGCATTATTTTCTCATGTATGCGTTGATTGATAAATAATCAAAGATCCTCCCCCCCCCCCCCCCCTCCCCCGCCATGATAAGATATATCTTCGCCCCTGGTTGCGAGAAAAAAACGGAAGCTCTGAGTCTGACTTAACGCTACGTAATTTTATACAGTAATATGGTTTCCAACTCTACATGAGCTACCACTCATTGCATAGCGTTGTTAGTGGAACTGAGTAACCCATCTCTGTAATCTCAGCCATTGAGCAATATACATGTGAGCTATCGCTTGCGATCCCGCGCTCAGGATAATAAAGATTTCAAGAGTAAAAATAATTGTGCATAGTAGATCATTGATTTTTTTTTTTTTTTTTACCATTATCATTAATCGCAATGCATTTTATGTTTTGTAAAAGGCATTCTTTATTCCCATGCTCACTGTCTCCCACAAGTTTGGAAAAGGAATAGGGTCGAGCTGTCGGGATGATCTAAATTTGGTAATCATAAAAGATATATACTTACTATCATGATGTATACATATTTATATTTTGTTTTCTTCCTTTTATTTGAAAAGAAAAAGGGGGAAAATTTGTACAAAGTATTACGAGTAATATAATTTATTCGTATCCCCTGTATTATATTGCAGGTGGTTATTATTATCTTTACTCTTACACTCAGTAATCTATGTAATACACAATAAGTTTTTTTTAAATAAATTTAATGCTTCCTGGGAGAAATTTCAATTATTTACCAGGTGTAAGCCATTATGTTTAAATTAAACTTGAAATTTGTTATCCAATGTACAAAACTTGAGAATGATCCTATTTGTTTGGATTAAAATCAATACAGTTTGACTGAATTTGAATTATATACGGGAAAGGGCGCATCCAAGATTTTGGAAGTGATGGTGGGGGGGGGGGGGGGGGGGTAGAACAAATTATTTTTTTCTTCTTCTGAAAATCGATAAAAAAGATATCATCAGTGTCGAAAGGGGGTAGAGATAACAGCTCATTTCCGGGTAGTGGACTGAATTACGCAGGCCTAATTTGGTTTGGTTCAGTCGTTCCACACCCCACTCCCACTGGAAGGGGGGGGGGGGTGGGGGTGGGGGCGGAACGTTATTAATTATTGTCACAGTGCATGGACAGACCTACAGCTTTGTGAGGTGCTGGTATTGGAGCAGGTCCGTGCCATGGTGTATTCATTTGGCCGATGGCATGAAGGGGGGGGGGGGGGGTGGGTGCCGGGACATGATGGTCCTCAACAGATCATCACTTTTTGAGATCTACATCCGGGTACGTGGAGCTTAGTGGGGGAACAACCAGGAAGAGAAGTGTTTTTTTCCCTTCATTGTGTGTGATAAGCGAAGATTATGCCCCAAATTAGGCTCGTTATATTTGGGGTATATTTTATCAGAACTTTGTTTTGCTTAATATAAAAAAAACTAGCAATAAAACAAAAATAAATGTCATCACATATAGAGTTTTGTTTTAACCTTAAAACAAAATACCTCATTGGCAGCACCCATTCCAGGGATTTACTAGTATTATAAGTAGGCCACCTACAGATTTGACAACTCAATATAAAGAGCTCCCACACTCATCCCAGTATGCAATGATCCAGTCTTATTTATTTCATGGAAGAACGGAGTGGGAAAATTCAAAAATGGTTGGGAGAATTAACTGTCAGAGGGTGTTGCACAGTGGCGCCTTCAAAGAAAACATAAATTTGTTTGTGGTTTGAGAATTTTTTCAGGTTTTTTCGCATGTTAGAGGGTTAATGGGTTAATACAGTAGAAGGAAAATAATAAGTAACATTTCATACAAAAATTGTGCAGTTTTTTTCATCAACCTTCGTATTAGAACATTTTTTAGCTTAAATTTTATCAAGATGGGAGGGGAAATCCCAAACTCGGGTCCATACCAATTGTGGGAGCCCGTGCCAGAA